TAACTATAACTCTACATGCCCAAAAATTGACGAGAACCTGATTCCACCACGCAGCCTCACATATACATAATTTCAGCTGCTCACACGATGTCCCAATTCCTCAACATTGGTTGAAATAAATGAGAAGTGAGTAACAAAATGGAACTCCTTCTGCTTACCTCTTCTTCTTTTTCCCAGTTGGTCCCGGCTATCATGTCTAACAGTGCAATCATGTTTCTGGCATTCTAAAAACATGTCCTAAATATCTCCATCTTCTCCTTTTTATAGTCGTGTTGATACTACAGTTAGTAACATCCCTTGATAACTAGTATGCAACAGCTGACAAAATGACATCCAAAATTGACAAGTGTAAGTTGTAAGTTTTGTTTAAAACGAAATGCAGCATTATAAAAACTTGCTGTTTCTCTCCTCAAATAAAAAGAAAAAAAGATCAAAACCAAAGAACCTCTTGCCCATCCCCAACTCCTTGTTTATTTAATTCTTTCTCTCTATCACCCTCTGCACCTTATTTATTCTTTATTTTCTGTCTATTAATTGCTGATTCACGTATGCCCCTCACGTTCGCCTATATTTCGCTACTTATTGTTCATCCATTACTTTCTGTCTATCAAGGGCCAATTTTCTCTTTGGTCCTTCATTTTCTGCATATCATCTGCTGGGTCTTGTTCATCCGTTACTTTCTGTCTATCATTCCTTTCTTCTTGTTTATCCTTTACTTTCTCTTTTCTCGTAACGTCTAGTGTATCCTTTCTTCTGGCTATCAACCAGTACTTCTACTTTATCCTTTCTTTCTCTCTACCATTCCGTACATCTACTTTATTCATTCTTTCTGCCTATCATCCTCAACTTCTACGTTATCCATTCTTTCTGTCTATCACCCGTTACTTCTTCTTTATCTTTTCTTTCTATCTAACATTCCGTACTTTTGCTTTATTAATTCTGTCTGTCTATCATCCTCAACTTCTGATTTATTCATTCTTTCTGTCTATCATCCTCAACTTCTAATTTATTCATTCTTTCTGTCTATCATCCTCAACTTCTACGTTATCCATTCTTTCTGTATATCATCCTCAACCTCTACTTTATCCTTTCTTTCTGTCTATCATCATGCAGCTATACGTTATCCTTTCTTCTGTCTATAGCCCGCTACCCCACGAGTGCGTGACCCACAGCCGCAGGAAGGAATATTCCCACAGATACAAAATGGCGGATTGCCCACTTCCGAAATGACCTGGGGTCTGGTCGCCATGAAGAGTGAGGGCCAGGGACATGTCGTTATTGACCTGACGTATTTGAAAAAAATACCCCCTCCCCCCCCTCCCCGCCAACCTCTTCCAAAAGAAAAGCAGAAAAAAACCCCCAACTTCTTCTCCAAGGACAAATTAATGAAATGTTCTATGACAAGTCCGTTTCTTGGCCTGCTTACAGTGAAAAGTGCACCCGTTACTATTCACGTTGCTGTACTTTTGTGTTGTCTTGTCGTCAGCCAACATTGTAGTCTGTGTTTGATATTTTGTGGGACTCCTTTCCGAGTCAATAGTGTTTATATGACTGTGTAAACCTTTTCATTTGTTGACATATATGTGAGGCAGCGTGGTGGAATCACGCTCTCGTCCAAATAATCAAAGTGAAGGAACTTGCATTTTTCCGCAGGTTTTTAAATGTTTATCAAATTTTTGTTTCTCAGCTCAAAACCTTTCAGATCCATTAAAGAACTCATTTCTTGTATTCTAGATAAATGGATATTTTTCATCCAGATTTTTAAAAATGAACAAGCTTTAAGTTAATATAAATAACTCTACATGCCCAAAAATTGACGAGGGCCTGATTCCACCACGCTGCCTCACATATACAGTCCAACATGGACGGACAACATTAAAAAAACCCAAAATAGACTGGCCTAGGTACTAGGTATATCAGAATGTGCAACGGCCGCTCACGACCGTGAAAGATGGAGGGTCATTACACATCAATCTCTGAGTCAGAGATGACACCTTCAGGTATCCAGGTATCCAGGTATCCAGTCGAAGTAATCCACAACGGCTACCCATTGTCGAGGAGAATAAAATTAAATAATGATAAATAGCATTAGCGCATATCCCCACTCAACAGCAGGCTCTATGCGATTTACACTATATTATTACCCCAGCAGATCATAGAACATTCCGAAACATTCTCAGCTTCCGGGGAAGTATACAGTGCAAGCAGCTGATTAAACCCTCAAACACTAACAAACTGACAAGATCTTTCGCTGTCTATAGCCGGGTTCCAATTCCTACCTGGGTGAAGTGAGGAAAATTCGTGTAAAGTGCATTTCCCAAGGATACAACGTCGGGTCCCTTACGGAATTCGAACCCACGACCATACGGTTGCGAGTCCGAGAGCCTAACCACTAAGCCACCGATGCCACAGAGGAGAAAAGAGGTTGTCTTCCACAAGTGGTTCTCTTGATCAGTGTCATTATGATTATATCAAGAATTTCTCTTTTTACTTTGCACAACTGCTGCAGAAACAAACCTTGACAAGAATGATACTTAGATTAAGTAGAAGGGGCACCCACGTTCTCTTCAGAGAAAAGAGAGAGAGAGAGAGAGAGAGAGAGAGAGAGAGAGAGAGAGAGAGAGAGAAAGAGTGCCTGGGAGGGAAAAAAGACTATGTGGGAAGTGGAAGGAGGAGGCAAATAACAATGACATCAACTCACAAGGGTGCCTTTGTTGTGGTTGTTTACGATTACACTCAGCGATTCCACATCTCCGAATCCTGCTTTGCCGACACTTATCCAGGGGCTCCAGATGACATTACGGTCTTCAGCATAGTCTGTCACTGTGGGAGAGAGAGGTATTAATCAAAAGCTTCTCTATCATGTCAATGTCGGACGATGACCATTGGGGGAAGGATGGATAGAAGCAGACGTTTGACTTGCGAAAGAGGTTTGTTTTAAGTGAGAAAGAGCAGCGCAATCATCAGACTAGCTCTCTCGCCTAGGTACAATGTATGATTAATACAACTATAGACCTTATTATGCTGCTTTGTCCAGGTATTTGTTGTTTCACTTTTATTCGAGAAACGTAGGTACGATGGATGGCTTTGGATCAATTTTGCAAATTTTCTCCGTCTCTTTTTGATAAAACTTATTATCATTTTTTTATTCCAAATTTCCAATCCATTTATGCCGCCAGTTTATTTCATATTCGCAAAGTCTTAGTGTCCCCACCTTTTCATCATCATGCACACTTTTATAGAATAAAGTTTGCACCAGTTCTTTTAACTCGTTAGAAAAATATACAGATGATTTTGCTGATGTTCTTGGTGCTGGTGCACTATTGTTGTTGTTGTTGTTGTTGTTGTTGTTGTTGTTATTGTTGCTGGTGTTGTTGTAGTTGCTGTTGTTGTTTTTTCTGTTGCTGTTGTTTATTGTTGGTGATGATGATGATGATGACGATGATGATGATGATGATGATGATGATGATGACGATGATGATGATGATGATGATGATGATGATGATGATGATGATGATGATGATGATGATGATGATGATGATGATGATGATGATGATTGATAGACAATAATTCAAAACTGTCTCTCCAATACCCCTGATTTGTTGGGTCGAATTGTTAAAAAAAATGCTTTATAAATGATGAGATGTACTGGGTACAGAAACTATGCTTCTACAAGGGTTTCTCAGAGGACATTATCAAGACAATAAAAATGTAGTATCAAGCCTTTTACACGCACCTTTCTGACATATGAAGGGGATTTTTTTCTCACAATCAACGAACTCAACACCCTTGTCATTGAGGAAATTAAAGCTCAGACACATCTTGGAAGTTGGCGTGTCAATCTTCAGATCTTCATCAGAAGCCTGTCCGCTGAATCTCCTGTGGAAATATGGAAAAAGATAACTGACTTTTTAATTGCGATTTTCTGTGACAGTTGAAGTGCTACTAAACATTCACCTCTATCTCTCAAATGTTTCCTTTTCCGTCGACCACCTTCCGAATGTTGTTGGGGCTGTACTTGAGACTAACAGTTGAGAGATATCATATGTGGGTGAATTGATGAGGAGAAGATTGGCGAAGACATGATCTTAAAAGTGTAAGATCAAAACTGTCAATGAAAACAAATTAGAAATGCTGTTCTTAGTGATGAAAGCTACAAACGTAGTCGGTATATTTAAGAAGTTTAATTTGCCAACATGACAGGGAAAATGATAATTTAATTAGAAAAAAATGTTCTACTCATCGAAAGAATTTGGATCAAAATGCCCTTGACTCTACATAGCATTATTCACTGACATACCCACCAACTCACGTACACACACGCGTATACACACACACACACACACACACACACACACACACACTCACACACACACACACTCACACATATACACACATACATACACACACATGAAAACACAAACACATACACACGCACATAAACGTGCGCGCGCAAACAACTAGATACGCACTCCATGCAGTCGTCCCTGCTCTGGCAGCAAAATAAGCGTTTGGCTCAAAGATACATGACAGGGTCCTCCAATTCAAAGCACTTCTAACAGAATGTTATAATCATTGCCTTTCTTTTCTCTCCCTGCGTAAGGGTATAGTCCCACTTTTTTGTATATTATTCTTGGTGACTCTTCTCCAGATTCTCATTGACCAAGTACCGTACCCTTTGGATTCCAACACAACACTTTCTTTTATACAGTTGCCTTAGACATACTCTCAGAAGGTCAGGCAATAACAGGTTGTAGACCAGAGTAAAAGAAGAAAAAAGACTTGTAAATGGAGGAGGGAGGTAAGAGAACAAACAAAAAAGTCAAAAGCAATGTTTAGTCACGGTTCTAACTGTTGTACTTACCTGAAAGCCTTGACTATATCACCTTGGCTGACCTCTAGCTGACCGGCCAGGTCCCTTGCCAAGCTCCATACCCGTGTGCTCTCAGTGTCTGGTCTGTCTGAGATGTCTAGAACGTTGTGGAACAATCGACTCCCACCGAAGAAAAATGATCTCTCTGGGAACGTAATGGAAATGTTTCTTGTTCAAGTTGAAGTTACCCAAAACACTTTTTCAACTAAGTATGAAATGAAGTTATTTTAAGGTATTATTTTTATTGCTATTAACAGGAAGACAAAAACCAAAATCCTTGTTTAGGATATGGGTTAAATCACCGTTTTCAGTCTTAGACTCAAAAGATATTCTGGGTTTTTTTTTTATCTTGAACAATCCTTGAGAAAAAACGTTAGGCAATTGTGATTATTCTAAATTTCAATAAAATGTAATTCACTGTTACCTTTGCGACATTTATACTACTGTTTCGATAAGAAACAGCATGTGCAAGTGTACACTAGTATATGTGAAAAATATAGCATTGTATTGTATTTCTGTCGATGGGTGCGTACAAACTGATACTTTTTTAAGTCTCTCTGATACTTCTCAGATTAACTAAGCTTTTTTTTGAGGCAATGAGTGAGCGAGGAGTCAGAAAAATTTCCTAGCCGACAGTGTCTAACACCAATTTCATTTAAAAAATCGACAAGAGTGTTTCATCAAAACTTACTGCTAAAAACCCGAGATGTCTTCAGTCTTTCGAAAAGACCAAACGGCGTGTCTGTGGTCAACATTTTCCCTCCGAAAGTGGCACATCTCGTCGCTGCGTCAAAGTAGTTTCTGCAGAGAGGTTTGTTTTACATCGTTAAGCAGCCTTTGTATCATACAATGACACTAAGCGTACCAGAAAGTAAGTGTGGTTTTGAAATTAAGAGTAAAATACTAATCGTCATAAATTGCAATGACCTGAAGGGGTGTCTCATAGGATTTAAAGTTTTGTGCGTTCAGGAAAGAAACATTGATCGAACCTTAATGTCGCTTGCGCTTTCTATCGTTTTTCCATGTTTGAGAAGGTACGTTGGACTTGCACAGCCACAATGGCACTCACTTTCTGGATACCTTTTGTACAACACAGATCAAACATTGTATTCCCGAAACTATTCCTGACTAAGAAAGATAATGATTTATACATGATTTAGTCTTTTTCTTTTGGGTAAAACGTTTCTCACAGCCTCTTTTTAACAGTTTATAATTCCCCTCCCATAAAAAGACGGAATGTCAATTGATGTCCAATAGACACAAAAAACCTCTTAAATTGTCTTGAATGTAGCCTGGAAGAATTTTTTTTAAAATATTTAAACCACTTTGTGAGGTCTTTTTTACCTTTTGGGTCAAGCGTAACGCAATTACTGTATTAATTTATACAAAACTTGAAGTTACGGGTTTTTTAAGACCTTCGTCAATTGCATCAAATTTAGTGGTTCCTCTAGGGCCAAAAGTGATCTCAACTTCCCGTTAGCCATATTTATTGACCATAAACTTTATTCGACTACTCGGTTGAAATCCAATCTTTGTTTTGTTTTGGGTTTTTTCTCTAACAAAACTGTGATTTCACTCGGAAAATAAGCAGATTTACTGTACCCATTCGTTACAGAGTAAGACATTACCTGCAATACCAAAAGGTTATTGGATTTTCATGTAGTAATAAACAGTTTATTGCTATTGTAAGCTTTCAATTATTGTTCTTATTTAAGCCCAATAATATTGGCGTATTTTTATGTAATAGTTCCAGGCAGGTTGCCGTGAGCCACTTCCGAAATGCTCCTGAATATTTTAATGGGTAAGTTCATAAAACATTTACTGCAACAAATTGCGATATGAATTTTAAATATTATTTTCTTGTGCAACGCTTACCTTGCAACCCCTCTTTGAACCAGAAGACAAAGACCTTCATATAACATAAAAGGTCTTTTACATGGTACTGAAAAGAGACAGGTAAAGGAATTCATAACCAATACAACTGTAGACCTGTGTTTATTTCATTAAGAAGTAAATAGCTAGCAAAAATGTCTTCAAGATCAAGATTCAGAATCGTGTTTTTTTAAGACTACTCCTTGCTCCGAGAAATGAGTCATAGCATTCCACACTTTGTTTTTCCCAAATTTTTTTCAGCAATACGTTGTTCATTACATGGATGTAGCTAAATTGGTCGTACTCATAATAGGAAATAGCGAACGAGTGAAAATGCATCGAAAGTTCAACTTAATGTATGTCTTCAAGTACAAGACATGCTGGCTTAGGCATTTTGGTGTCAGACATAGAACATTCGAGACCAAGATGTTATTTAACAGACGAATGAAAGTTTACCAAGAGCCGATTTCTTTTCCAGAACACTATTAATTGCAAAAATAGCAAATAGACAGAATAAATAAACCAATATTCCATGTCCTGTCTTTTGTTTACTGTTAAATATGGACTTTTTCCCCGTAGGATTATGATTTAAGATGGTCGTTTGTTTCTTCCTGTCTGTTGCATTCCTTGTTTGCTTTGTTATGTTTTTTATGGGGGTAAAAGGGAAGGCCGGGGATTGGGATGTGCTGCAGAGGCCACTCACTAGGTTTACTGACACACTGCATGCCGTCAGGACTACATTGTTCATTTGCTGAACATCCTGGGATGACCTGCTCCAGGACCTGTCCTCCCTCACACTTGACCGTCTTGGCACACGGCTTGACCACCAGCATCTCTCCGTCCTGGGGAAACGGGGGAGGGGATGGATAATTATAAACATTTAATTCTCTGTGCTTTTTTATCA